TTTTTTTTCTGAAAATTTTTCAATTCGAATACTTATTTGCAAATTTATTGCTAGCTTAATTTATTTTAATTCATTCACACTGCAAGTTTGTTCATTTTTGCTGTGTTGGCGCCAATTTGAAATGTATTACTAAATTTATAGTTTTGAAAATAGTTGTTACTTTGAATTTAATAGTTGTTGGGTAGTACCCCATTTCATTGACGGTGCTAAAAATAGACCAATTTTCATCTGTGCTTTATTGTTTGTATGCTTATAAGCTTGTTGTATATGTTTTGATTCTTTTGGAGGTAACAATTTGGTCTTCTTTTTTTTTATTGTATAGCTGTAAGAAAAAAAAAACCCGTTTAAACAATTTTCTGCAACTCTTTTTTATCTGTATCTATCTAGAGGATTTTCTTGGAGAAATGCAGGGGAAAGGTACATAAGTTTGCTATTAATATTAGCACATGTCCTTGAAATTATTTCAAGTGAGTCAGCATACATATCAAGCTTCAAGCTTAGAGATACAAAATGAATTAATTAGAAAAAATATGATATGTTTCTTTTCCTTAGTCCAAGTTCCAAAACATGCATTATGCCTATATATTCTATTTCCATCACTTAGAGAAGCATCTTTCAAACTTTCCGAAAGTAGTAAGCCAGACATTCAGGCAATCAATCAGATTGCTACAGGTTACTTTTGTAAACCCTTTATTAATTGTTTTATTTTGTCAGACTAGAGTTTTGTTTACTAAATAGTTCTCCACCTAGAAGAGGTTCTAAGTTCTAACTAGCAGTGGTGGCAAAAAGCTTTTCTCACAACTGCTTTGGGTTTCTCCAATGGTAGTAGGATGATGCTTAATAAAGTTTGATAGTATAGTATCATATCTTGGTGGTTCACAATACACCACCAAGATATGTCACAATCTCCCATACTCTAATAAGATTGACAATCATAGGGTGTTTTTGAGCCAGTTAAGATAATTCTAGAATGGTATAAATGAAATGAATGTACTGTATTCAGCCTCTTCGTCACTTTTTTGTATGCAATGTTGCACAAGTTTCATTATAATTCACAAAAAAAGAACAACTCAGGCAAGAAAAGAGGTATCTATTGGCAGTGATGACAAAAGGCCGGTCTTACAGCTGCTTTGGGTTCCATCCAATGGTAGTAGGATGATGTTGATAATCATAAGGTTTTTCTGAGCCAATGGAGATCATTCTAAGGTGTAGTAAAATAATTCTGTTGCAGTTTTGTCATCCCTGAAATTGGTTATAGCTACTCAACATTACAGCAATTGTGTTGAGATACAATTTCACACTTTGAATAAACAAGGAACCTGATTAGTTTCTCATAGGTTACTTCTATACCTCGTTGCTCATTAGTTTATCGTTATTTTTGAATTTGTTCTTTGCCAAATCTTCAGTTTTTCTACCTAACAGAGGTTCTCACTAGCAATGATGACAAAAGGCCGGTCTTACAGCTGCTTTGGGTTCATCCCATGGTAGTAGGATGATGTTGATAATCGTAAGGTGTTTCTGAGCCAGTGAGATCATTCTAGAATGTATTAAGACAGATTTAGTTCATCCTTTGAATTGCATGTATCCATATGGCCTTATAACAGTTCTGTTGACAATCTGAACATAAATAAACCTGGCAACTGCTTATTTTTCCACAAATTACTTTTTGTTCTGTTTTGCAACAATGAAATTTTCTTTTACGAAATCTTAACTTTCTCTACC